TCACATCCGCAGAATGACTTTTTGCGGAAAGAAAACGAAACCAATCTACCTATGTTGGTTCATAATGGATTCCCAAAGCAGGTACTGAAATATTCATTAAATCCTCGATTGATTTCTCCAGGTCTATGCAACTCAACCGATTCCCAACCGACCTGCTTGAATGGAGGCTACGTTGACCCTTTGAACTGCACTGTTTGCAAGTAAGTGCACTTTCATTATAGTTTAGTGACTCCTCTCTTACTATGGACTCTTTTAAGATGTCCTACTGGATTCGCGGGCGATTTCTGTCAGCTGATCGAACCGTCCGGAGCACTGAAGTGTGGCGGGCTTATTCCGACTACTTCAAAACTGACTCGGATGAAAATTACGATAGCTGCCAGTGGTCCAGAAAGAAGGAAGTGTGTTTATCATATCCGGGTCAGTTAGATAATATGCTTAGGCTGCTTGAAATTTTATGTGATACTTTGCAGTCTCCACCAAGGCGTCGTGTTATGATCGGTTTGCAAGAAATCCGAGGAGTTTGCCAAGAAGGATGCTATAATACAGCTGTCGAAATGAAGATGATTGGTGATTTCAGACCTGTAGGCTACAGGTGAGGATGTCTCGAGATTATTTGCAAACAGCTTCCTATCGGAAATTCTCATGAAATTTCCATAGATTCTGTTGCAATTCGCACTCATTCCGCCGTATGTTGTCCAGAGGAAGAAATGTTCCAATCACATTCTTTGCACGAAATTCAACTCTCGAAGTCATTCTCTATTTCCGATGGGGTTGGTTCTGCTTGTTTGCACTATTTTTCTATTTTTTCGTAAACCTTGAGATTATCTATGCAGATAACTGAAAAATTTATTTATTTTCAAATCCACACTTCGGTGGCTCGCCAGTAAAATGTTTTTGCACTTCCGAGCCGTCGAAATGTTGTCGCAAAATTTTTAGTTGTGCTCACACCTGATGCTGAAGATGCTAGATACCTCAATGCAACACAGTTAGCTGAAGTCTACACACAAAGCGATGCAGACAACGGTAAAGTGTGAATCAAAACTACTGTGACCGGAAAATTCAACGTCCACTTATAGGAGTGGATATGCAGCTTCTTCAATTGCCCTATGAACCAGTCGTCGGCTCAAAAACCATACGCAACACAAGCGATTTGAGAATTTTGAAGAAGAATACGAGAGTAAGTGTGCTTTAAGGGATTGTCCAGATCAACTGTGGGTGTTGGGGTCAGAGCATGGTTCCTGACTAACGCAGCATTCAAGTCCGATCGAAAAAGGTGGAATCTGAAGCGAGAAA